GAATTTCCATTTTTAGTTGTAACATGACAAACACACACATACACACACACACAATTTACAGTATTCCAAGTAGCAGTAAAGTATCGGCTCCCCCTAGGATGGGAAGTGATGAAAATTTCCCAGGACCCCAGGCGGTCAGAAGTCTCTGATCGGAAGATCAGTTCGTACATCTTCATTGCAAACCCAATCTCCAGCTGTAACAGGGAGCCAGCTAGTGACCGAATGGGGCATGTCCAGTGCTGGCCCTGCCTTCTTCTACACAGCAAGAGCCAATCAATATGTGGGTGTGTGTTCTGGTTGAAGGGTTAACCCTATGTGAGTAGGATGATCGGGGCCTGATGTGTATGGGAGGGAAGCGGTGTAGTGCTGGGAGGCCGCCTGTCCTCATTGAGAGCCGCACCCTGGACTCCGCACCCTGGCAGGCGCCATCAGAGGTGAGCCAAGCCTAGGAGGATGGCGAGTCATGGAAGTGACAGGAGGGAGAGGGGGGATGGACAATGGTCAGGGTGAGGGGAGTCGATGCTGATTGATCAGGTGGGACGCTGCCATGTCATGAATTATCCTTCAGTAGAGGGGAGGGGAGGCAGAGGGGGAGGAAGAAAGGACAGAGAAGATGCTGGGTGTCTAAGGCCAGTGTAGCAGCTGAGCTGCTGCTCCTTCCAGTGTTCCTCTCAGACTCAGTGCCTTACTGCAAGCCAGCCGATCACTGTAGAGGTTTGTAACTGTCTTTTTTTTTGGTGCTCTGTCTTATTGGTTGTTACAGTTCATTTATATTTGGTTAATATATATTTTTATATCATATATTATTTTTTATCTTTAATATTGATGCTGCTGGCATCTTATGGCAATTATTTTTTCAGATTAAAAGAAATTTAGTAGTTTCATGTTTTTTTGATTTAATATTATCTACAGTTTAACATTTTTTACTTTTTTCGGGGGGAGGGCAGGCGCAAGTAGCTGGTCTTGCCTAGGGCGCCAAATAGTCTAGCACCAGCCCTGGGTAGGAGTAAGGATAAAATCACATCTACGTGCCTAAAAACACATGAAAACATAGTGGGGTAGAGTTGCTAAAACTGGTACATTTAGAATTTGGTGCTGCTGTGAATGCTAGCCAATCATCTTCTAGCTTGTTCGATTAAAATTTGGCAATAAGGAGCCTGCGCATGGCGCCAAACGGGAGTTCAGTTTAGAGCTCCTGGCACCGGCCTCCTCCGAAGTACCGCTGATAGTAGAAGGATGACAGGGGAGCCGCAGACGGTAATTATGTGAGTGTGGTCCCCTAGGAGAGAGGAGTGCCCCTGGAGCCTGCCAGCAAGTCTATCCTGGAGAACAGAGGGGCAAGGGAGAGGATCCACGGCTGAGAGGGAGAGTGGAGATCCCTGGGAGGGGACGGAGCTGTGAGGGCGCCGAGCGGTCACGTGGTCTAGCACAGAGGAGTACTGGGAGAAGAGAAGCCGGCCAACGTGCGGGAGTGAAGTGAGTCCCGCCTCCTGTCTCTCAAAGACTCTCATGTATACCCTTCACAAGTACCGGTATAACAGAGAGTCCCCCCCCCCATTTTTGAATACACTTGTCACCTGGAGAGAACACTGAGATCAGCAACCCCAACCCCCCCCAAAAGAAAATAAAAGAGGAGAAAGAAGAAAGAAGGAAAACCAGGAAAGCTGCCCCACTCAAAGAGGAAGAAAAAGGAGCTAAGAGGGTGAGTGAGAGCGGCAGGCAGAAAAATATAATGTACTGTGTTGAAATATCAAATTTATGTTGAAGTGGATGTGAAAGAATCCTGGGGGGTTATTGCACTGAGAAACTGAGAAAGATGTCCGGAAAAGGGATTTGAAGCATACAGAGGACTATCTACAGGTGATAGTGGGGACAGAAGTAAAGAAAAAGAGGAAAGGGGATATGAAGAGAAAAGATTCAAAGGACTTTTTTTTTTGTTCTTTCTTTCCTCTCTTCTACCCAGCTGACTGAACACTGAGAGGAGAAGAGGAAAAATAGAGAGAAAAATACAATAACAAAATGAAGAATAAAACGGCAAAGGGAGGAGGCTCAAAAGTCTCTCAAACAAGCTCAATTAAAAAATATATACCATCACAAGGAAATAGTACTCCTGATAGACAAACAGTAATAAATGGTAGTGGTGAGATGGAACATAGTATTGGAGAAAGTTCTAGACTATCCCTGGGAATGGCATATAGCATCCAAATTATGGAAGACATGGATATAGAAAGAACAAGGGTACGGGAAGATACAGAGGAACAAGAGAAGAGATCTCAACTGCTCACTAAAATTGAAATAGAGGATATGTTTAAAGAATTAGAAAAATCTATAAAACAAGAAATGGTGAAATTACATAAAGATATGGGGCAGATATTGGCAAGAGTGGAAGAAACAGAGGGAAAATGAGACAAACATGCCCAAGCCATACATGTCATGGAACAAAGGTTAATGTATATGAGAAAAGAACAAAGAAATCTGCTATATAAATTGTAAGATCAGAAAAATAGTGTTAGGAATGGACTTGCCAGTAATGGTGGACTCACCTGCCTTGTGGGCTGCAGTACCAGGGCTGGCCAGCGGGTGCTCCCAGCAATTAGAGACTCAACCCTGCAGCCAGCCAAACACCTGAAACTGCTTATGCAGGTGTATTTAAGTGATGGCCAGACCTGCAGTCTTTGCCTTGGTGTGTGAGTTTTTCCTGGGCCCTGTATCTTGTTCCTGCATCCCTGTTCCTGTCTCTGTCTGATTCGTTGCTGACCCTGCCTGATCCGGACCTCTGCTGACTTCTCCTGTTTTATCCCTGGCTTGTGACCCCGACCATTCTCTGCCTGACCCCCCTGTACCTACCTGCCCGATTGTTATTGACCCGGCCTGCCTGACGAGGCTTGCATTGTATGTATTATCTGTGGGTGGTTTGGTTTGGTTCGTTTGCACTGTGTTATGTTTTAGTATTGCACTGCGTTTATGTTTGTATTGTTAGTCTTTAATAAATTATATTGTTTATAACTTATCTGAAGCCTGCGTTTCCCTGCGTCAGTCACATACCTCTGGTCATACCCTGGAGCCCTGACATTACACCAAGGCCCATCCTGACCAGAAGTGGCTGCACAGGGAAGCCATCTCGGCTTGTTGCTGGGAAGGATGGATCTTGATGAGGTTGTGTATTTATCTCTGCTAGTGTTTGATGACAGAGAATATGCTTATCAGGCTCTGAGGGAGTATACCCTGGGATCAACTGCTAGAATGTATATGGATCGCTCATGTTCTAGTAGATCAGGGCACAGAGTTCTCTGAGGTGCAACCTTTGATTCAGGTTTGTGTAGAGTTGGCTTCATCTGGTGCCCCTGAAAGCAGGAATGACTTTTTGCCACCCTTTAGTGCAGACCAGGTAGAGTCCCTGGTATGGTTATTAGAGGATGATGTGGGTTGCTTCTTGGAGCATTATGCTGCATGTTCACCACAGGTATTAAGGGATTGTATAAACGCAGTGCAGTCTTTGGTCAGACAGGCTTTGTGTAAGCTCAGCTTTGTTCAACCCATACTGCAGACATGGTCAGACTTGTTGCACCCAGCCTCAGTCAGCTTACAAAAACCCAGTCCTGCTTCTAATCTATTTCCTCAAAGCTCTATTTCTGCATTCCCAACAGCACCTCCAGTTACAGCCCAGTATACCCTGCTATCTACCGCATGTCAGTACCCTGTTCCCACTCGCTGCACCTATCCTGCCTTTAACCCTGTAAAGAAGCCCTCTGTAGCAACTGTTCCCTCCCCTGTTACATCCTCCAGCTCTTCTCTGTCTCCAGCTGCTCCATTCGTTTGCAGACCTGCGTTTACTTGCAGTGCTCCAGTAGTTAAAACCAGAAAAAAGCGAAAATTCTTTCCAACCAGTACCATCCTGCCAGTATCCAAACCGGTGAGCCTGCCGTCTGAGAACCTGCCTTCCGTGGTTCAGCCTGGTGCCTCGGCACCCGCACTTCAGCCTGATGTCTCTACCCAGCCTGATGAACTGATCCAGCCTGATGATCCTATCATGCCTGATGACCCGTTGCCCGCTGTCATACCTGGTGACCCGATGCCCACTGTCGAGCCAGACGATCCAATGCCTGATGACCCAGTGCCCGCTATCATGCCTGGTGACCCGATGCCCGCTGTCAAGCCAGACGATCCAGCGCCAGATGACCCGGTGCCCGCTGTCGATCCAGACGATCCGGTACCTGATGACCCAGTGCCTGCTGTCATGCCTGGTAACCCGATGCCCGCTGTCGAGCCAGACGATCCAACGCCAGATGATGACCCAGTGCCCGCTGTCATCCAGACGATCCGGTGACCTAAGGACCCGATGCCCGCTGTCGAGCCAGACGATCCAATGCCTGATGACCCAGTGCCCCTGTCATGCCTAGTCGAGCCCGCTGTCGAGCCAGACAATCCAGCGCCAGATGACCCGGTGCCTGCTGTCGAGCCAGACGATCCGGTACCTGATGACCCGGTGCCCACTGTCGAGCCAGACGACCCAATGCTTGATGACCCAGTGCCCACTGTCATGCCTGGTGACTCGGTGCCCACTGCCTTGCCAGATGACGCGGTGCCCGCTGGCGAGCCAAATGACCTGATGCCTGGTGACCCAGTGCCCGCTGTCATACCTGGTGACCCGATGCCCGCTGTCGAGCCAGACAATCCAATGCCTGATGACCCAGTGCCCGCGGTCATGCCTGGTGATCCGATGCCCGCTGTCGAGCCAGACAATCCAGCGCCAGATGACCCGGTGCCTGCTGTCGAGCCAGACAATCCGGTACCTGATGACCCGGTGCCCGCTGTCGTGCCAATTGACTCAGAGCCCACTGTCGTGCCTGGTGACTTGGTGCCCACTGCCTTGCCAGATGACGCGGTGCCCGCTGTCGAGCCAAATGACCTGATGCCTGGTGACCCGATGCCCGCTGTCCGGCCAGACGATCCAATGTCTGACCCAGTGCCAGCGGTCATGCCAGTTGACTCGGAGCCCACTGTCGTGCCTGGTGACTCGGTACCTGTCGCTCCGCCTGGGGGCCCGAGACCTGTCGCTCCGCCTGGGGGCCCGAGACCTGTCGCTCCGCCTGGGGGCCCCGGCGCCCGCCGCTCCGCCTGGGGGCCCGGCGCCCGCCGCCCCGCCTGGGGGCCCGCCGCCCCGCCTGGGGGCCCGCCGCCGCCGCCTGGTGGTCCGGTGCCTGCCGCTCCGCCTGGTGGCCCGGTGCCTGCCGCTCCGCCTGGGGGCCCGGTGCCTGCTGCTTCGCCTGGTGATCCGATGGGCCTCTCCCGGAGCCCAGCCCGATGTGCCTGGTGCCCGGAGTCCTGCCCGATGGGCCTGCCCCGGAGTCCGCCCGATGGGGGCCCGAGACCTGTCGCCCGCCTGGGGGTCCCGGCGCCAGAGTCCGCTCCGCCTGGGGGCCCGCTGCCCCTGTCCTGCTCCGCCTGGGGGCCCGCCGCGCCCCGGAGCCCCTGCCTGGGGTGCCCGGCGCCCGCCAATTGACCAGCCCACTGGGGGTGACTCGGTGCCCCTGCCTTGCCAGCCCGCCTGGGGGCCCGGTGCCCGCCGTTGAGCCCATGACCTGGCCTGGGCCCGAGACCTGTCGCTGTCCGCCTGGAGGATCCCGGTCTGACCCGTGCCAGCGGTCATGCCAGGGGACCGAGACCCACTGCCTGCCTGGGGCCCGACCCCTGTCGCCCGCCTGGGGGCCCGATGCCCGTCGCCCCGCCTGGGGGTCCGGCGCCTGCCGCTCTGCCTGGTGGGCCCGACACCTGTCGCTCCTCCTGGGGGCCCAGTGCTGCTGCCCGCCCCGCCTGGTGGCCCGGTGCCTGCTGCTCCGCCTGGTGGCCCGGCGCCCGATGTGCCTGGGGGCCCGGAGACCTTTCGCCCGCCTGGGGGCCTCTGGGCCGGAGTCCCCGCCCGGAGTCCAGCCGATGTGCCCTGCTTGGAGTCCTGCCCCCTGGTGTCCTCCTGCCCGATGTGCCGCTGCCCGCGGAGTCCTGCCCGGTGTGCCTGCTGCCCGGAGTCCTGCCCGATGTGCCTCTGCCCGGAGTCCAGCCCGATGTGCCTCTGCCCGGAGTCCCTGCCCGGAGTCCAGCCCGATGTGCCTCTGCCCGGAGTCCTGCCCGATCCTGCCCGGAGTCCTGCCCGATGTGCCACTGCCCGGAGTCCTGCCCGATGTGCCGCTGCCCGGAGTCCTGCCCGATGTGCCGCTGCCCGATGGGCCGCTGCCCGGAGTGCCGCTGCCCGATGGGCCGCTGCCCGGTGTGCCGCTGCCCGGAGTCCTGCCCGGTGTGCCGCTGCCCGGAGTCCTGCCCGATGTGCCAGTCTTTGATATCCCGCCAGTTACCAGACCCGGGCGGTGGAACATTTTGCCCAGCTAGGACTGTTTGGAGCGTCCTGAGGCCGCTCCTTGAGGGGGGGGGGTACTGTTAGGAATGGACTTGCCAGTAATGGTGGGGCTCACCTGCCTTGTGGGCTGCAGTACCAGGGCTGGCCAGCGGGTGCTCCCAGCAATCAGAGACTCAACCCTGCAGCCAGCCAAACACCTGAAACTGCTTATGCAGGTGTATTTAAGTGATGGCCAGACCTGCAGTCTTTGCCTTGGTGTGAGTTTTTCCAGGGCCCTGTATCTTGTTCCTGCATCCCTGTTCCTGTTCCTGTCTCTGTCTGATTCGTTGCTGACCCTGCCTGATCCGGACCTCTGCTGACTTCTCCTGTTTTATCCCTGGCTTGTGACCCCGACCATTCTCTGCCTGACCCCCCTGTACCTACCTGCCCGATTGTTATTGACCCGGCCTGCCTGACGAGGCTTGCATTGTATGTATTATCTGTGGGTGGTTTGGTTTGGTTTGTTTGCACTGTGTTATGTTTTAGTATTGCACTGCGTTTATGTTTGTATTGTTAGTCTTTAATAAATTATATTGTTTATAACTTATCTGAAGCCTGCGTTTCCCTCGTCAGTCACATACCTCTGGTCATACTCTGGAGCCCTGACAAATAGGGACAGAAAATGCAATTTATGGATACGAGGTCTCCCTGAGATACCCAAAGGAGAAGATCTGCAGGAAATAATAAAGAAAGTGATCGATATAATATTAGAAAGAACTCGAACAGCCCCGTTTGTACTTGAGGGGGTCTATAGAATAGGAAGGGTCCAACAACAGGAGGGAAAAAAGCAACCCGAGAAACACAATTGTACAATTTCATTATTACCAAGACAAACAGGAAATATGGAAAAAGGTAAAAGGAAGAGCAATAATAAAATATAGGGAAGTAAACATTCAGATCTTTGCTGATCTTGCAGCAGAAACATTGATAAGAAGGAGAACTTTAAAACCACTATTAGAACAAATGAGAAAGCAGAAAGTTCAATATAGATTGGGATTTCCCGCTTGTCTGATAGGATGGTCGATTGGCAAGATTGAGGTTTCCTGAAGATTTGAGAGACTTTTGTGAGAGACTTGAATTACAGAGAATAAATATTCCAGATTGGGAGGAAAGTCAAGAGGAGAGAATTCAGTTGGAAAAAGATAGGTGGCAGGTTTCATAAAATGGAGATAGAGTAGAGAGGGTAGTGAGAGAGGAGGGAGAGATGGAAGGGGGACGGGGTTTTTTTTTTTGTCCCCTCAGCATACTCCCTCCACTTTGAACTCGGCAGGAAGTGGGGGGGGGGATAATGCGCATGCCCAGAGCCCCACCTCAGGTAGAATCTAAGGTGGAACAAGACCACAAATTATTCATAGACAAATAAAAGACTTACAGGGGAAGGGGGAGGGTTGGGGAGGAGAGGGGCAAATTATAGGTCTAAAGGGGGTGGGGGGGGTGGGGGAGGGAGGATGGAAGGAGGGGGGAAGTGAAGGGTATGGGGAGGGGGTAGGTAGGTTAAGACTCTGCAATATAGTAGGATATACATTAGTTTGGAGAAGTATTAGAGAACAAAGGGGAAGTTATGGACAAGAGTGGAGGAGAGTGGGGATAGAGGAAAAGGACAGGAGGAAAAGGGAAGAATGGAAGAAATCCACTTTGTGACTTATAATGTTAATGGTTTAAATAGCCCTGGGAAGAGATTTAGGATATTTAAAGAGATTCAGCATAGATTGTCCTCACTATTTTTTTCTACCGGAGATACATTTGGGGAAAGAAACAAATGTGAAATTGAATTCCAGATATTATCCATTATGGTTTTATGCAGATTCCCCAATTAGAAGAGCTAAAGGAGTGGCAATAGGTTTTGCGAAAAATATAAGGTTTAAATTGGAAGACCGGTTGGTAGATCCTGAAGGGAGATTTCTGTTTCTGAAGGGAAAACTACAAGAAATAGATTGTACATTAGCAAATATTTATTGCCGAATAAAAAACCAGAGATATTCCTAAAAAATACTCTGAAAAAAGTACTAGATTTCAAAAAAGGCAGTTTAAATTGTGGCAGGAGATTTCAATCTCTGTATGGATCCTCAGATAGACATAACGTCTGCTGTGCAAAAAGAAGAAAGTAGATCTCTGAGATCCTTGAAAAAAAATGATATATCAATTCCAACTTGTAAATATATGGAGAATTAAACATATGAAGGACAGAGATTATACTTTACTCACATGCACATGAGATGTATTCAAGATTGGATTATATATTGCTTGAACATCTACTCCTTGAGTCCTTGGTCAAAGTAAAAATAGAAGTGATATCAATATCGGATCATTCTCCTGTCACAATGCAATTATTATGGGGAAAGGAGCAGAAGGGGGGAAATGGTTGAAGGTTAAATGAGACACTTCTTCAGGATCAAGAGACAAATCAGAAAAAAAAAAAGAGCAATTCTGTGAAGAGAACGAATCGGGGGAAGTGTCTGTGGCAGTGGGAGGCTCATAAAGCGTATATTAGAAGAATTTTGATAGCAGTAGGAGCAAAGAAGAGGGAAAGAAGAGAAAAAAATGAGCAAAGAAGAGGGAAAGAAGAAAAAAAATTAACATGCTCTTAGGGGAACTTTGTAAGTTAGAGCAGACACACAAACATGGAGCATCAAAAGAGATTATGCAGAAGGTAACAAATAAAAGAAAGAATTAAATAATTTCCTGGAAGAAGAGAAGAGTATTTAATAAAATGATAAGTGAGAGATATAGATGGGGAGACAGGCCAGGAAAGTACTTAATGAGGGCCCTGAGTAAAAAACAAACAAACTAGGAATTACATAGAGAAAATAAGGGATCCCAAAGGAGAATTAGTGTATTTAACTAAAGATATAGCTAAAGTGTTTAAAGAATATTATAATAACCTATATAATATTACTCCCCACAGTTCTAGATATAAAGAAGGGGTAGGAAAAGCAGAAAAAAGACGGACACTTAAAAAAGGCAGGACTACCAAAAATAAGTGAGGAACAATTAAAATCTCTCAAAATAGAAATAATGCAGGAAGAAATAGAAATGGCATTAAAAATTACAACAGCGCGGAAAAGTCCAGGACCAGATGGATATACTGTGAGGTATTATAAAAAAATATAAAAAACTATTAGTACCTAAATTGAGATTATATATGAATGCATTGGGTGGGGAGATGGAAATGAGGAAGGAATCCTTAAAAGCACATGTAGTTCTCATAAATAAAGAAGGTAAAGATGATACTCACTGTTCAAGCTATAGACCGATGTCCTTATTAAACACAGACACTAAACTTTATGCAAAAGTTCTGGCAAATAGGTTAAAAGAACATATGCCGGAATGGATACACATGGATCAGGTGGGTTTTGTCCCAGGGAGAGAGGGGAGAGACAATGGATTGAGATCTTTGTTTCTCATACAAAAAAGTAGGAAAGAAAAAAAACCCCTGTGGAGGTACTCTCGATTGACGCCAAAAAATCTTTCGATAGAGTAGATTGGGGATATATGATGGATACACTAGAAGTATTAGGGATGGGTCCTAGAATGAGAGAATGGATAAGGAAATTATATAGTCAACGTCTGCAGCAATCATGGTCAACGGAGAATTATCAGAGTATTTTGGGATGCAAAATGGAACTTGACAGGGTTGTCCTCTGTCTCCACTTTTATATGTGTTGTCATTAGAATTTTTATTAGCTACAATAAGGAATAATACAGATATAAAGGGAATTTGGATAAGAGACACAGAGCATAATGTGGCAGCTTATGCAGATGATATGCTGTTCTATGTCGGAAACCCAAGGATAACATTGCCAAATTTAATAAGAGCACTGAAAGAGTATAGGGAGATATCAAATTTAAAAATCAATCCAACAAAAACAGAGATTTTGAATATAAATCTTCCAAATAGCGAGAAAAAAATAGATTACAGGAGGAATTTCCCTTTGTTTGGCGAGAAAAGAACTAAAATATCTAGGAATAAAACTAACTGTATCCTCCAAGAACTTGTATAAATTGAATTACATCCCATTTTTAAATGAGATTAAAGATGAATTTAGGAAATTAGGAGGAGGTGCCCCTTCGTGGATAGGCCGTATAAATTTGATAAAAATGGTGATCGTTCCAAAAATTCTATATAAATTCCAAATGATACCAATTAAACTACCAGAAGTATATTTTAGAACAATTAAAAAAATGTTAACAAGATTTATTTGGAGGAATAAACAAACGAGAATAAGCTACGAGATTTTAAGTAGAAATGAAGAGAAAGGTGGACTGGGAGTACCAGGCTTGAAAAGATATTATAGTTCGAAAATAATGGCGAGAATTTTTGACTGGACACATAATGCAAAAGGTAAAAGCTGGATTAAAATAGAAAATACACTAAGTAGTACCAACGTAAGTAGAATCATATGGTTACCTCCACAATACAGAGGATTAGCAGACAGCACAAATTTGTTCA